CAATTCAAATCTGGATCAGAATTTTTCTCCACGGCTTTTCTGAGGTGCACTGCACGAGATCCTTTCAGGGGCCAGCCAGTCTTAGGGGGCCAGAAACTCTCTGTGTGCCTCTCATTTAAATCACCCAGCCAGGAAGTTGGCACCACAGCCACTAAATCATCTTCTTCAAAAATGACTAAAGCAAATGGCTGGAACAGAGACAAGGGACAAAAGGGCGTCAGTAAACAAGCACTGTAAAGTCGAAGAAAAGTCGAAGCAATATCCCTCTCACCTAAAGCACAGTGTGTATCAATGGTACACACAGATAACTCAAATTCAAGCCATCAGGCATTAAAACACATTTATGATCAAGGTTGTCAAAATGACAGGACTCAATATTTTCAGACAGATTGGAAACCAAGAACGTGCCTAATACAGAAGATTCCATGGGATAATCAAAATAATTATCCATTTGTAAAAATCTTTTCCCACGTAATATAATACCATTATCAGTTTGCACTATATTTTGAAGAATTAGAACTGAGCCATTCCTTATTTTGAAACATCTATCAGCCTGATTCAAGGAAAGTGAGAAACATTTTGATTTTAAAAGCTTAAATTGCTGTCCAGCAACAGCTTCTCCAGGGTCAAAGTGACTATCATGTAGTGTCACTCCATTCTGCACTTCTTTAGGTTCGGTTAGTTTTCCTCCAGTTTCAGCATCTCTCCTGGCAATCTGCTGTAAAGGGTGGTAGCCAGATCGTAAAGTCTGCTTAATAGTCTTCAAATGATTTTCAAACGGAAAACTACTAAACGAGTACAAAGGTAGCTGAGTGGACCTAACTTCATCAACTAAATGAATTAAACTGTGTACATTGTAGATACAAAATTGAAGGCCATACAAATCTATGGAAAATCTAACAAACAACTTTGCAAACTCTTCAGCAGCAGTAAGCATTTCCTCATGTTCGATGAGGAGAGGGCTCTCCAGAATAAATAAACAACAGTGCAACAAAAGAAAATTCTGATACTCATCATGTTGAAGTGCATCTTTCATAAGTTTCAGGCCATCATACAATGCAAGTCTTCTTAGTTCAGAAGCCTTCAGATCTTTAACAGCATCAAATTTCCGTGGCTTCCTATTAAATTCTCGAGGAAAATATTGTCCAAGTTGCCCACATGATACCTTAAATTCTTCTACCTCATCATCACGAAGTCTGCCACGATTTCTGATGTCCAGTTTTAATTGTAGCAACTTTCTGACTACTCCTAAATAAACCAAATGCTGAGGGTCAAGTCTGAACATAGATACCATCCCTAATTGTAGCTGTTCGTCTTCAAGTGGGGAAATACCCAAATGATGATATTGATTTCTTCGGTCCCTGAATGACTGGTCTGTTCGAAGTTGATCAATTAATGAAGCAAAAGTCATGCGATTCAGATACCACCGACCTCGAACCTCACACTTTTCACATCCAAAATAACCACTATGTGGAATAATACATTTCACATAAGATCTTGCTGCTGCATCGCAGATAAAATTCTTCACATGCACATTGTACTGCACTCCATCAAACCAGAAACCATTTACAAATAAATCTCTTAATTCTTCAATTAATTCATTGAGAAACTGATGAAGAGTTGCAGGTTTGCTACAGCCAAAGTAGATAGCAATAATAAACGGGTCATGACGAACTCCTGATAGACAACCCAGGATAGGCCAAAATTGAGCTTTAGATGATCTGAACAATGGCAAACCATCAATGTTAATGTCCAAGTATACTGCTCTACTATTATTCAAATAATCTTGAGTGACAACTTGATTGAGACAATTTCTCACACCCTTATACCAGATATTTCCATTTTCAATTTGAACAACATTTGTAGTTTTGGGAGTATGAAGGAGCGTTTTGTAACTTTTGGGAAGCTCCGGATGAACTCTTCTCAACATTTTCAACAATTCATCAACTTTGCGCTTTGATACACCACGCATAGCCCAGTTTTGCAGTCCATTCTTGAGGTAGTTCATAACATTAAAATCTTCATCGTCAGAATCATCAGAGTCATCGTTAATATTGTCTTGGTCACTGTCACTCTGGTTGTCACTGTCATTGTCGTTGACACTGTTGTTTTCACTGTTACTTCCACTGTTATTTTCGTTGTCATGTTCACTGTGGTTGTCACTTTCAGTTTCGTTGTCATCAATCTGGTTGTCATTGTCATTCTGGTTGTCGTTGCCATTGAGATTTACATTGTCATCATTATTTTCACTGTCCGTAGAGTCCGTCTCATTCCCTTCCCTAGCATCAACCTCACTGTTGTCAGTATCAGTTTCATCAGACTCATCCTCGTCCCTAACCTCAGCCAACAATCTATGTCTGGCATAGTGAACTCGTTGCACCAGTCGCTGTCGGATTAAGTGTGCCCGACGCCTTAAAATCCTATCACCGCGGTTCTGATACAAACAAAAGTTAGATCTAATATGTGCTCATTATTGTGATAATGAATTATAGTTACTTACCCGTATTTGATTTTGATCATTTTGATCCATTTCCATTTCTTTTTTTTTCGGAGACTGCGTACCGCACCGACCCTCTCTATCTCTCTCGCTCACGGGTTTGCCGTTTTCGGGTGGTAGGATACCATTCACATTCACATTGCAGTTGGACCCGCGCAACGCGCGAGAATTCAAACGAGGAAAACGAGAAGTAAACACTCTCAATAAAGACGATATCGGATAGGCGAAGCTTTTTTGCAGATAATTTCTTTGATATTATGAATGAAAATTAGGGAGACGACTTCAAAATTAACTTTAACTGATCTGATAAAAATATCTGGACGAAAACAAACAACAACCCATCAAACTGATGTCACATTGATGTAATTTGGAACCAAATTGTGAAAAACCGCTCAGTTTACGTCAATTTGACATCAAATTGATCTTTTTGCTGAAATCGAGTTTCTTACGCAATTTAATACCTGCAAAATGTTATGTTTGCATCATAAATCAAAACTGCCTCATCCTATTGTGTGTCGGTGAAAATTTTAAGGGACATCAAAAAATCGTCAACCAGGGGTTAGTTTTTGACTTTTGACGACTTTTCTGAAAATTGACGTAAATCCGATGTTTTATTGATTGACCGTTTCCCACTGGGTAGTATCGGTCAGACTACCTTACCGGATAGATTCAAGAGCTTTCAAAGGCTTCCTATCGGGGAAGACTCCCTTTAGTTGATTTATTTGACAAAGTTGTTGAAAGGCCAACATAACCTCAAATTTCATTTGTCATTTTACGGAAAACAGCGCCTTCCCCACGTTCCAAACAAACTCAAAATGATTGCTTATGATCATTAAAAGTGTTGACGTCGTTCAAACACACTGACTAAATCCAATTTCTTGTAGTTATGTGCATTACAAGTTCGCGCATGCGCACAACGCCCTCACCAGCGCCAAAACTATTTTCAGTCTAGAGTGAACGGAATCAGGAACAATATTAAGAGAACAAATTTCGAGTGGTAATTACTTTGGAAAGCACGGCGGCCATGGCACATTTATGGTGGTCATCAGTTTTCGTTGAATTACACCCGGAGAAATGAGTTATTGACATTTCAAAATCCCCCATTTGCCACCACAGTTTTGAACTTTTCGTCACGCGGACAGAATTTATAAATCGAGTTTTCGTTAAAATTTGCTATCAAAGTTGAAGAAAACCTCTATCACGGCGTCATTACTGGGTAAAACCCTATCGTTTGGTACTGCACTTGTCTGTATGTATTCCAGTTTCCTCCAGTGAAATGGGTCCTAACTTACACAGCACCGAGAACAATACTCGTTCTTCCACCTCCACGTAGTGATGTTTGGAGGGAGGGAGGTAAAGAACGAGTAAAAATGAATGATGTATGTGTGTATCTGCCTACCAACTAGGCAACCCTCAATGCTTGCATGTTAGGGAAGGTGGGGTACATTGGGACGGATTTTGTCTTTTTGCTCTAAGGTCGGAGACCTTGAATGTTAAAATGACCGGCACTGGCTACAATTGCACATTGACATGTGGCCAATCATATTCTACAGCGTCCAGATTTTTTTTCTCGTATTCTTTGGCTGTGGAGACATTTCCCCGAAATATGTCACCTGTCCCAATGTGCCTGGGTAAGGGGCATTGGAACACCAAAAGTGTTGGAACACACAATTTTCTTGTACAGAACTATACACTCTCCTGAGGACTGCTGCCATCTATCGGACTCTTTTGAAACTATGTCGCCCCTTATTGCAGTGTGGGTAGTGACCACTTAAGCGCGCTGCTGGAGCTCCTGCTCTCTGTATCCAGTTTCCACTCACTCTCGCTCTCCAGCTGTTGTACTGTGTGGACGTGTGTTTACTTGTGCTACAATTCTGATAATACATTCTAACATACTTAAGTTGAACCCTTGGTTAATTATTCCTCAAACACCTCTTTCCTGGCTGTAAGTTACAACAATAAGAATATATGGAATGGGGCACATTGGGACAGTTGACGCGCTTTCCTGTGAAATGTACAGCATACATACCGCCTTGCGGTCTGGAAGTCCAAAAAGGCCAGTTATCTACACAATGAGACAATTTTGGTTTTTTTGAAGTGTTACATCGGTCACTTTTGATGAACTGTCCCAATGTGCACTTAATCGCCTTCCCCGTGATTCCTTTCCTTTTCATGGGTATTTTGGGATTAAACTCAAAATCCTTACTTGCCAAATGTGTCGTAAGGAACTACCTACCGACCAGCCACTTGCGCGATTAGCTCTCGCATTTCAGTACGCCTAGAACATTGCAAACTAAAATAAAAGGGTATCTTACTTTCAACAGATTTTTGAGCTCATCGTTATTTGATATTTTCCGTAAATCTGACATGATGTGCAATCGTCCCAACACTGATGTCATTATGAAATATGCTCACATGAGCGATCTGTAAATTTTTTTCAGCATGTAAATTCTGTTAGAAATAGATGAGGCTACTGTCCCAACGTACCCCGTGTCCCAATATACCCCACCTTCCCTTACCACTTTGCTTGCATCCTTGTACCGGTTCGAAAGACCGTGGCGGTCAACTTTTTTTCATCGGAGGATTAGGGAGTATCTTCGCAGGCTACGCTTTCGGTAATCCAATAACTCTTTTAATCGATCTCGACCTTGTCTCTTTCAGTGCGGCCAGACGACTGTTCCTATATTTTCACTAGTGAAGAACCAAACACTTTCTGGTCCCTTGCCTTGGACCGTGGCAGTCAATATTGACAGCAATGAAAAGCTGTTTAACATGGGAGTGCTAATTCGAAGCGATATTGTTGTAACGGGTAAGTGACAAAATATTTACCGTTTTTCTGAAAAATGCGCGTCAAGTACAACAGTGGGACAGCATGTTCGCATGATCACGGAGTATGATGCACTGGAGCCCCAAGTGTGTACTTGAAAGCAGGAAATACTGCATACTTGTTGGTATTCGGTATTTACTGCGCACCCAGAAAACTGAGTTCTTGGATCAAGAACACTGTACTTGATCACGGTTTCAGTCAAGAACATTTGCCTTGATCCAACCAATTTTGACTTTAAAAAAATAAGATAGAGAGCAATCTGGGAATTTCAGGGTCGTTTGGTATCATAAAAAGACAGATCGAGTTCGAAGATAAGCATGCAGTAGCTCAAAAATTGACTTTTTTAAAAATCGAAAACCACAGGCAACAAAATATTTGTTTTTCCAAATATTTTGTTATGGTCTCCTATAGGGTAACTCGTGAAAATAGAAGCCTATGGCCGACAATTTCGTCCGTTTTGCTCTATGTTGTACCGTTTCGGCGCCATGGGACATTTCTTGGCGAAAACAACGTGGAAAAGACAAAATGGTCTTTTAAATCGTAAAAACGGCTTCATGTCAGAAAATTGTAAAGGGAGTAATACTTAAACCACACATTACGGGTCGAACCGAACCCTTTTTTTGGGTTAAGGGTCCCTATTATCTAGTATCTCTAAAACGTTGATTTTTACATAACAATCTGTCAAAATTCGAGCTAAAAGTGAAAACCGTTAACGAACAGCAGAAGTATCATTTTCCTAATTTTTAGAGTAAAAGACCCCGACAAATGGTTCGAGTATGTCAAATTTTAGGCCCGGAAGGCCCTGATCCCCTTTACCCTCTCCTTAACTCGTTTTGGGTGTCAGCGCCACAGGCCTAGCTATATGTGCGTCAGGCGCGTCGCAGCGCAACAGTGTTTCGTGAGATATCGCGATGCCTGTTACGCGAGACGTCGTCTGGCGTACATATAGCTAGGTCATTAATTTGCCATGGAAGTGGTCAGTTTGGCGAAAAATTAATGGCGAAATAATCTCTGAATGATGACCAAAACTCAAGCCGCACGAAAAACCAGCCGCCGCCACGAGGTGGAATCGAACCACGAACCTTGCGCACCTAGACTTGTCCTTTCTTTATTTTTTGGTCATTTTGCGTTATTAGTATGCGATATCTGTGCGTCTCATGCGTTATGATGCGATCCAGCCCGTATTATGCGAAATAATGCACTCCGGTAATGAGCTCAGACGTTGATGCATATCCCTAAACTATTGATCATTATTCATTTGAAAAATTATGCGATCATGCGATCGCACAAAGTGCTCACCCCCCCCCCCCTTTCCCCCATCCAAACTAGGCCTTTCTCCTTCTGGGTCTTTAACTTCTTATTAAAGCTTAAAAAGGTTTAAAATATGTTTTGATAAGTATTGTTAAATAAACTAACACTAGTATTATCTTCAAAAAGTTCTCAATTATACAGACGCATTTTAGTGGAGGAGCTAAATATTCAACAAGCGAAATATTTAACTAGAACCCGCGCTAGTCCGACGGCCCTGCATAAGTTAGAGATCTGAAATTTTTAAGGTGTCACCGGAACGCATTGTGATGAATAAGAATGGGTACTTATGAGCTTTGCTAGTGTACAACTTTGATTCTATGACTCACGATTGTCGATCTATGAAAAGATTCGCTCGTATCAAGAACAGAAAAGTTCATTCAGAATCTGTCATGAAAATGTGCACATCTCGGCGGATTCATCTACCATGCTTTTCCCTAACCAATGATAAACTGTACCACCCCAGTGTTATAAAAAGATGCTGCTCATTCAACAATATTGCTTTGTAAATTGCTCAGAAACACTAGGTTCGTCATGCAAACCGGAACCTTCATAGCTTACGAAGGATTTCGAAGCGTTGTATTACGAACTTATTGTTCGTAAGCTTACGAATAAATAGTTCGTAATGCAAACCGATTGTTTGTAAGAACCTGCCTAGCTCTACAAACAATCGCTTTACAATACGAACAATTTGAAACTTGTTCGTAACGTTGCATAGCATTTAAGCTTTTTACAGTGTGTACAAAAGAAGTTAACTATGCGATTAATTACAGACGCCAACTACCTTGTTGATCCTCCGAACATCTGGAATGACACCGGCTCCGTGCGCACCATAGACCCTGGACGGATCCGTGTCGTGTGGATCAACCCCAGTGGCAGACGCCTAATGTCTCAAGTGGGGAAACTTCTAACAGCTCTCCGAACCTAGGCCTGAGTTTCCATCGTAAATTTAGGAACGGGTTTCATCTGTTCTGGTTTCGAATGACGTTTGGCTTCTTTCCGGTCTTTTTGCTGACACGAAGCTAAACCTATGGAATACTTTCCGAATTGTATACACGATTAGCTTCGAAATAAGGGTATTCATTAATAATGATGCCACTCCAAATCGAGTCTCTTCAGCTCAAGTGGTTTAGGATACTTGAAAAAGTAATGCACCCAGGCACCTAAACATCCCCCCCCCCCTTTTCTCACTCATAATATATACCGTTAAAAATATTTTATGATTTCCCAACACTTTCACGACACGAAGCAAATGTGCAATCACAACACTTCTTTTTAGTCAAAAATAGTGCATTTTGCTATCTTACTTGGAAGTAGTTGTGAACCAACTGTAATAATTTCTGAAGCTATCAATTTTTGACGAAGAGTTCTGGCAACTTCTTTCACAACGAATTCTTCGTGAAGTTCTGACCTTTTTAGCCCGCCCTTCTGCTTTGAGAAATCTATCCAGCGGGCTTATGCATATGTAAATGACCTCGTGTCTGTTTGTGTGTCTGTCTGTTCCACAAGAAAGAGAGAGACTTAAAATATTCAGGCTATCTTAAAGTTTACTACTAGAGAACGAAACGCCTACGGCAAATCCCGGCAACTACCCTCAAGGGTGTGAATGGGGGTATCCAAGGTTTAAATACGTGCCCCAAAAGTGTCTGTCCGTCTGTCCGTCCGTCCGTTTCCGAAGAAGGACGATAGCTGGAGGTCTGAAATTTTAGGGTATTGTTGTCACTTCTGGACAACGAAACGGTTGGTGCAAATCCTCACAACCACCCCTGAGTGGATCTGAGGGGGTAATAAAGAAGTAGGGGTTGGTCCAAGAAGTGGGAAAATAATATTTTTTGTATGGTCTCCCAAGGGGTAACTGGTACAGGCAGAGTCTTCCAGGCTAAAATTTTGCCCGTTTGGCTCTATCTTTCACCGTTTAGGCGCTAGAGGGAGTTTAACGCACAAAAGTGGCCCAAAAATAAATGTAGTAATGAGGTATTTTCCGAATTAGAAGAACAAGAGGAATATCGTCTGCTCCCGGACCATCACAAAGCCTCGACCAATCAGAGACGGCCTTTCGGGAGCCGGCCACGAGAGAGGCCGAGAGAGGCTCTCTCTGATTGGTCGACGCTTTGTGATGGTCCGGCAGCAGACGATATTCCTCTTGTTCTTCTAATTCGGAAAATACCTCATTTTAGAAAATAATTGATGGTCTCCTTAGGGGTAACTGGAGAAAGTAGTGTCCTTTGGGCGCAAATTTCGTCCGTTTGGCTCTATCTCTCACTGTTCAGGCGCTAGAGGGAGCTTTACTTACAAAAGTGGCCCAAAACTTAATAAATGAATTTAAAAAAATATTTTATGGTCTCCAAAGGGGTAAATCGTGAAAGAACCCTCTGGTCTAAAATGTCGTCCGTCTGGCTTTCACTGTTTACTTTCAAAAGAGGGTTTTTCTTACCAATATGGCCAAAACAGAAATACATTTTTTTTCAGGAGTGCACTTCGGTTCAGAATTGTCTTCAAAGCAGAAGAGTGGGCTTATTTTATGGTGGCACATGATTAATAAAATGTGTAAAATCCCATTCGAAAAGAAACAAACAAACATTTATTTCGTTGTTCGGAAACGTGTGGAGCCATTCAGAGTTTGCCTGGAAATATATTTGTAACTTCTTCTAGTCTTATATATTTTTTCATAGGTGTGTTATTGGGTCCATAAGCTAACATCAATAACTTAGAATGGATTTGGCATAACTTGCATGTATTCTACAAACTGCGGCACACACAGCCAAAGATGTTCAGCTTATAAAAAAATGCTTCGTATGCGTTGAGTTTAGATTACGAAGTAGACAACAAAGGTTCACTGTAAAAAAAATTCTGAAAATTCAGTAGATCTTTTTCAGAATCGGCAGTCTGAATCTTGTTTTCAGACTATTACTCACAATTTTCTGAGTTTAGACTGAAAATCCAGACTTTGTACTCTGAATCAGGTTTTCAGAGCCAATTGGTCTGAATATTTTTTAAGTATAATTTTAGACTATACACTGAATCTACAATTCAGAGTTACCGGTATGAATTTTGAGTGGAAATCCCACCGGACAGGCGGACGAAGCACACCAGTAGCCGGTGCTGACCACCACGCACGTAGCTGGCAGCTGAATGGTTAAGGTTGCGGCTTCCGAACCTGGAGGTTGGCGGTTCGATCCCAACCAAGGGCAGTGCCGAATGGACAGATATGTCCTCACCTAGGTATAGCTCTCTACCCCCACTGTTGTTAAGTGGCTCGCTATGTGTTCATTTTTAACATTTTCAAAAATATTTTCATACCGGCTGTCTGAATTTTCAGACTAAGTGGTATGGTAAGGTAGTACTGAAATTTCAGACCCAGGTGCAGTCTGAATTTTCAGACTACTGGTCTGTAAAAAAACTTCAGACTAAAAGTACTGAAAATTCAGTACAACTTTTTTTACAGTGTTCTTGTCAAAAAGATGGTTCGAAGCGAGACGCCACTCAAACGGGCCGAAGGCCCGTTTTCCGATAGAAGCTATATTAAACCATAAAAATTCAGAAGGGACGGGCCGAAGGCCGAAGGCCCGTCCTAAACGCCGCCGACAGGCCAAGCTAGGCCCGCTCCCTACCGAACCGAGTTGCCGGTGGAGCGAAGCGGAGCTGGCAACTTGGTTTGGCAGAAGAGCCTAGCTTGTTTATCAGAATACTGATATAAACTAGCATTAACTTGCAATTTAAAAACCCGTTCGAGCAACCTGAACAGAATTTACATTTTGACTGAAATTCATCAAATTAGGTTTATGTTTTACAGGGTACTACAAGAATGCTAATGCGGGGATTTTTGGTGAACTTCGATATGTTGTAACGAACGGTCTTGTGAGTCGGAAACAGTCGGAAAAGAGTGTGAGTGATTTTTTTCCAGCTTTGGACAGTTTTTGAGCTATCTTTCCTGGACTACGGGACTAAACTTAATATTCATACTTTTCTTGTCTGAATTTCAGACTCAGAAGTTCGTTTGAATAAAAACTCTGAATTTTAACATTTTCTTGACTGAACTCTTTTTTTAGACCCAAAGCTATGGAATTTCAGACGTTCACTGAAAATTATGACAAAATTGTATGAATACCCCAATCTGACAGCAAAAAGTTAGTCTGAATTTTCAGGGTTTTTATAGCAGTGTAGGTAGGTGTACGCCAGACCACGTTTCGCGTAACAGGCTTCGCGATTTCTCACGAAACAGTGTTAGGCTACGCTGCGACATGCCTGACGTATACATCTACACAGGCCTGCAGCGCTGACACCCGGGTCGGGCAAAAGGCACTGTCTTACATAAGCCTTCGGCCCCAAAAGTCACAAATTATGGAGTTTTTTTTTTATTTGTTACCCCACCAGACGCCATAAGTATCTGAGAATTTTCTTAAAAATGTTACGGGGTCATTTCTATTTGAAAAACGCCCTCTGGCACGTAAACGGTTAGAGCCAAACGGACAACATTTTGTTCTTACGGGTACTACTTTGACGAGTTACCTCGTAGAAAGATAAAAAAAAATAATTCAAAGGTGTTGTTGTTTTGCTTTTGATTGTTTTGAAAGGTCAACTTTTTGGCTAGAGGGCTGAAAATCAATACAGTTCTTGCTTTTTAAGCTACAAAGCCACACTAAAAATGTCAGGTACCTAGCTTTTTCTAGTTTTTGTGATTACAGACAAACACACACCTACACACGAAACTTTTTGATCATCAGTAGGTAGGCTTCGCTATCGCTCAGCCAATTAACAGTGTACACTGTTAAAACGAGTCCTGGGATTCCCAGGAGAGTTGGAACCCCAGTACTTTAGTGGATGCCCTGGAAACAAGCAATGATTCCTAGGGGATCTGGAAAACCCAGAACTACCTCTGGTAAAATTGCAAATTTGCAGGGCAACCTTCCAGCTGCCAAGAAAACTTCCGGGAATCCCAGGGGTCGCTTTTCACCGTGTATCGCTTTAGACTCTACTAGATTCTTCAGGTTTTATTCTTAAGAGAAGTGGTTGCATTATGACAGTAAGCAAAATGTTTTCTCCACCAAAACGAGCCAATTGATTTGCAGATTGTTTCCGTTGATGTTCGAGAGCGCGACCGTGACTCTTACACAACCACACGAACTTTCGACGTTGCGGTACTTCGACTCAAGACACCATTCAAAACGAGCACCAGAATTTGCTCCAATCTTTTGGACGAAACTAATTTGCCAAGCTTGAAACGCTACCAGATGGGAGTGGTAAGTTTCTACGATGCAGCGCTGTAACAACCTTAATGATATGTTAATAACACCCGAGGAAAGTTCAGGGGATGCTACACTGACAATATATAGAATTCCTGTTCCAAGTGTATGTACAAGCACATCTTCTAGTAACTGATATATCCTTTGCAACTAATAAGACTTTTATTTCTCTACATCTTTTCTGTAGACCAAAGACTGTTTGGTCCTGAAGTCAATAGTTCTCCATTTAAACATAGGTTTTATTAAAAGTAAACACTCTTTATTGGTACAAAGTTTTTAAGGCTCCAAAAATTCTCTGCGCATGCGGTTTTCAGTTACAGAGATACACTCTTTTGGCGACTATGATTTTAACGGTCCTGTGCAAATTAGCTTCAACAGATTTGTATATTTATTTTTATGTCATTCCATTTTAAAATAATTGTAAGAGGCATAATTTTGACTAGTTTTAAACAATGACAAATTTAAGATCTTTCTTAGACGTCAAATTTTAAACCAAATATAATTTTCAAGATCTGATCAAGTTAAATTGTTCCCTCGCTTGCCGTTCTGATTCCAGAGAGCTTTACCCCAGATTACTACAGCCAAATTGAGTGCCAATAAATCAGTGTTATTAGAGCTATATTCAATTAAGCATTCGCTTGAGCCACGCGCCCCCAAGCGTACGCTACGTTTGGCGCGGCGCGAGTCTCGGGCTGCTTGGGGCGGGAGGGGCGGGGGAGCGGACGGAGTGGGGGGTCACTACTCCTCCCTCCCACACACGAGCCGAGCCGGTTCCTTCGACCACCTTCGCCTGCCTCCGGTCGGTTCGGAAAACAAATGAAAGACAGAGTGGACGGAGTTTGAAGAAGACGCAAAGAAGTTGGTGACGTCATGTGTGTTTGGCGGGAACAGATCTGACAACCGTGTGAGCAAGTGGGAGTTAGGAGTTTTAATACTACCTGAATTTAAAAATAGCTCGCATAGTATATTGTACGTTTTTGAGATGAGTGATCTCGTAGATTACAGTGTGTATGATGAGGCTGGCGAAGTTTATGTTACGAGGATCCCTCAAAGGGAAGCCGATATGTACGACATTGGTAGGTGTATAATTTTCTAACCTTACTCAGTCCACGTCAGGTATCACGTTATAATGTAGTCAGCACCCAATTTAATGCGCTATCACAATTTTTGTTCCCCATAGACCACATAAAGAGATATCGCCTGCTCGCGGAGCTGAAGTCCAATCAAGAGCCTGTGCGGAGGTGGGATAGGAGCTCAGTGGCCTCACCTGCTCGTGTCCGTTGTAAGTGATTTCTTTTTCAACGCCATTTATGTAGCACATGTTGTCATTCCAATCAATCGTGAAGTCTTATGACGTTATTCACCGGTGTCTTTGTTTCTGTGGTAGCTGGAGCAGACGCAGAGCCCAACGTCATTGCTGGCCCTTCTCCTCAATGCAGGCCCCAAAGCAGTCGTGCCCAGGGCAAAACAGGTGCTGTCTGGAAGGGCAACACGACCTACAAGTTCCTGCAGGTCTGCGCTCCCTTTAGAAAGTGGGTGCGTCCCAAAATTGTTCCAGAGCCCATGTGGCAAATCTTATCTGATAAGCTTTACTACGGTCCAGACAACCTCGACTACAGCTGGGAACAGCTAAAGGAGAAAATCAGGAATTTAAAGAGCAGTTTTAAGAAAGCCAAAGATAGAATAACCAAAAATGGGAGCATTATTGGCAAATGGTGTACATTTTTGATGATCCCATCATAGCTGGTGAGGCGACTTTAGCACCAGAAGGTTAGTATCTCCAAAATGAGAAAGCCTACTCTGAAATCCTGACTTTGATTTCTGAAATACATGTATTTTTTGCAGGCTTTAGTCCTGATCTGTTATATGACCAGCAAAGCAATTGTGAACTCACTGCCACTGAAGGTTTTGGATCGGCAAGCCAGAGTGGTCCGCCCATTGGACCCTTTCAACCCAGCAGTGCTACCTCAGTTGTTGGATCTACTTACTCACCACCTGGATTCTTAAACTTGCTAACATCCTGTTCGTTCTGAATTTTTAAGTTGTGTGTCATAAACTTTTGAAACAGTTAAATTTCTTATTTATTAACTTTACTTTTATCTGTTCCAGCTGCGAATGTCCTCAATAATGGCAATACTTCTGACATTGACACAGATTAGGAGTCTTACAATCCCCCAATGTCCAGCACTCAACTGCAGCAAAGCCCAGCACCCTGTATGCATTAATTGTGCACTTTGAACGCTGTTGTGTGACCATTAATACATTTCACATATGTCCTAGTGATTAATTATTTTCTTTATTGCCAGATTTGGAAAACTGTACTCAAATCCAATCAGAGAACAATGGGGAGGTTGAAACTCACTTTCTTGATTTGCACATCATGGAAGAAGATGCCATTAATCAAACTCTAGTTGATGGTAACTATCTTGTTTAATCATGATATATTCTGTGCAAACATATAGATATCCTCTTTGCAACTTATTTCATGTTCAAACATTAATATCTATCAATGCAACGTATTAATTATATTTTTATTACAGATAATCAAAATCTGCTAAGGTCTCCTGCAAGAAAGAAATTTCAGAAAAATGGTTGGAATACCTTATTATTCTCAGAAAAAAATATTGCAATACTTGTTACCAATTATAACCAGTTCTGCATGTTTGTTTTTAAGATGGAGCCGCTCAAGAGATGTTGAGGACACCTCAGAAAACACCCCGTAAAAAAGCTGGTGGTGGAGGAACTTCTTCTCCCAGAAGCTTGGTGCAGAGGAAGACTCCGTCACGAAGGAATCTCTGCTCCGAAGCAGACCTTGTCTGGCCTCCACCTCAAGTCCAAATGCTCTTAAAAGAATGTTTGACTAAAAAAGAGAAGGTTCAACAACAAACCGTTCCTGTGAACACTTGGAAAGAGATTGCAAGGGCCATGAAAGAAGAAGGAGGAGAGCACTATCGTGTGACATGGGAACTTTGCAGAGGAAAGTTCTTCAGCCTGTGTGAATACTTCTCTAATAAATTGTTGTATACTGGTGGTGTTTAAGTGGTGTAAAAGTACCCTATTATGATCTTTTGTGTCAGATTCATGATATTCCTCTGGATTTTGTGATGCCACCAGAGGTATCACTGCCAACATCTTCTCGTGAGTTTCCATTGCGCTGTGTCATCTACCTAGTTGTTTTATTTTTACTTTGATTTCTAATTCAAAATTATTTCTCTGTTGCTGCATATCATAAACTTTGGGATGATGCCACCATAAAGCTTCTAATTAGCCTGTACCAATCAAAGCAACCTTTCTTTGATGGTACTAAATCTCATGTCAGGCATGCTACCTTATTCTGTGAGATAGCAGCAGCCATGGTTCCCCATAATGTCACTGCTACTGGCAAGCAATGCCGGGATAAATTCCGTGACTTGAAAACCAGGTATAACATTGATTACGATGAGTGCCACAACACCAGGGCATCTCCCAGTGTGTGGCCGTACTTCAAGGAAATGAATGCTCTGTTTGGCAATACTGCGGCCATGAAACCTCCACTCACCATGTCCCTTGGGACTTCAAGCAACTACAAAGTCAAAGATGGTAGCAAATCCCAGCCTTCTCAATCTGGATCTAGAACAAGGGTTAGCTCAGAGAGTGAACCAGCAAAGAAAGACAAGAAGCCGCCTGCTGGCACTTCATCTAAGACTAAAGCTACTTTCAAGTCTAGGACTGTTGAGGCACAGGAAACAAGAGTGCATCAGCAAGATCGTCTTATACAACAAATGGAGCAAATGCATGAAACCTACGCCAGTCAATGTGAGGTTCAAAATGAGCTGCTGCGAATGCTTATTGCAAAGGCGGTTAACCAGACTACTAAGACTTAAAAGTAGTTAAGTTTTTATTACTTTGATTTTACGTACTATGTGACCTCCCTGAAGCTGTGTTAGTCTTCTGTTGTGCTAGCAGATTTTACTTTTGTTTCTTTTGACACGCTGGCAATTTTACGTTTTGTTTTAAATTCTTTAATATGAAAGTTTATTTTTTTTGTTTAATTAAAACTTAAGTTTGACAATTAAATGTCTTCATAAATGTATCACCCTTTTTTCCCTCACATGAAGTATTGTCTGGAATTAATAGCTTTTCAATTTCAATTCAAAAAAATATATCTAATTCAAACTTTTACACAAAGAACAATCAATATTAGTGGGCAAGAACATGGTCCATAAACAACAACCTCTTCTCCAAGCCTAAGGCATTAGAAGCTTCGAATAGTTGAGCTAATTCTGGGTTATCTTCATCAAACTCTTCATCATCTTCTTCCCCTTCAAAGTCCTCATTACCTAGAACCTCATTGACACGTACAGGTCTTCCTAATTCTTCATCCTGAAAATATACAACAATAATTAACGATTGATATGTCCACAGAGAAGACTGCATGAATGAAACTTGACTTACATCAATCATAGGTTCTCCATGGAGTAAGACAAAATTGTGGAGGACAAATGAAGCAGTTATATGATCTACCACTACCTCCTGCTTTCTTGCGTGCAAAAATTTTAGCCTCCGCCACTTTCCCTTAGCACGAGCAAAAGCATTTTCGACCCTGACTCTGCTCTGCGAAAGTTTTCTGTTATAATTTAACTGAGAAGCATTCAAGTGGCCATTGTTGCGAAATGGAACCATGACCTACAAGGAAAAGCAGTTCAACACAAAATTAATAATAATTGACAAAATAAATTGTCAATTTAATTAAGATAGTATCCAAGGAGAAATTACTTACAAACTCACACTGAGTGTATGCTCCATCTCCAACCAGGTGTTCGTCATTAGAAATGAACTGACCAGGAGGGCCAGTTAAGAGATCTTTAAACAAAGGACTTCTCCTAAAAACTCTACTGTCGTGCATGGACCCAACTTCGCCAACATGCAGGTGACGCACTAACAAAGTGCTATCAACTACCGCCTGCACATTTATACTGTATGTATCATGGCGGTTCGTGTACTGGGCTGCATCTACTAGTGGGGCAGTGATGGAAACATGTGTTCCATCAATGAAACCAACAATACCAGGGAAGCCCGTGGCTCTTTCAAAAGTGGCTTTAATTACTTCCCTTTCTTCGGCATCTGGCCATCTAATGAACTTGGGAGAAAGTTTTCTCAAAGCCTCGATAACATAAAAATGAAAATAATATAGAGTGCCAGGGTTAACACCAAATTTGAGCGACACACTCCTAAATGAATCTGGTGTAGCCAGTAACCAAACGACCATTAACATAATATCTTGGGAGGGAGTTCTATCTCCTTTCAGTTTATCACTATCAACTAAATGATCACTCACGGTTTCCACTAGCATCTGAAGACATAATGAAAAAAAATCAGTGTTTGCTCATTAGTGATTTCAATTCACAAGTAACTCATCAGAGGAGCTTTCTTCACCTCAAACACTGTCCTTGTCATTCTAAAATGGATTTGGAAGCAAGGGTCTCCCATTCTGTGGTAGTCATCAAGATTGACTGTGACTTTGACCCACCACTCACCCATTTCTTCTAAGTCTGAAAACAGAAAATATCAAACATTACAGAAGTGTCAAGCATGAAAATTTCAAATCAACCTCTTCAAAATTTTACTCACTGAGTCCTCCAAAATCCTCCTCTAACTCCATTATTTCATTGGCAGCAACACGAGCCGCTGCCATCATCATAGCCATGAAATGCTGGTTTTGCTGGTTTATGACTTCTCGGCCTTGAGTTGAGGTCCCGCCGGCGGAAAGACTCCTGACACATGTGTCGGGCCGTCCGGTTAGGGTACCGCAAGACGAGAAGTGATCGCCTACAGGTCCATCCACCATATTAGTGGCTCTGAGTCCTGTTAGGCGCGTACCATGGCCCGTGTAGTGTGGCTAATCTCCAGGCGCTGGCCCACTACCAACAGATCGTCTTCGGAGCTGCGCACCTTTGCCAACTCCGCTCAACGTCGACTGCCCCATGAAGTCAAGCTCCAACAGCCGCTTGAGTTTCTCCA